CCGAGCCCCTGCCCTGTCCTCTCCCGCGTCCTCGGCCGAGCCCCTGTCCTGTCCTCTCCCGCGTCCTCTCCCGTGTCCTCTCCCGCGTCCTCCACCGAGTCCCTGCCCTGTCCCTGCCCTGTCCTCTCCCGCGTCCTCGGCCGAGCCCCTGCCCTGTCCTCTCCCGCGTCCTCTCCCGTTGTCCTCTCTGCCCCGCAGGCCGCTCCAGTCCCCCGCCCCCTCCCGCGAGTGCGACCCGGCATCCGGCACGATGACCATGTGCGGGGTCAGAGTCGGGCTCACGGCCCCCCAGTCCCCAGCCTGTGACACCCGCCGTCCCCGTCGGACACCCCACAAGGCCATGTGTCAGGCCGACTGATGGGCACCCCAGGGCCGGACAGACGAACGACTGACACCCCAGGGTCAGACAGACAAATGACTGACACCCCAGGGTTGACAGACGAATGGACTGACACCCCAGGGCTGGACAGACAGATGAAAGACCAACACCCCAGGGCCAGATGGGTGAATGACTGACCCCTCAGGGTCCGGACAGATGAATGGACTGACCCTGCTAGGCTGGACAGACAGACGAACGACTGACACCCGAAGGCCCCGCTGGTGAACTACTGACACCCCAGGGCCCGACAGACAGATCCATGTACTTGATATATTTGGGTGCATTTCTGACATTATTCACTTTCTTTCCGAGTCACCAGTTTGATACTTTATATTTTGTTGTTACTGTTCGATTTAGTATTTTCCCCCTTAATAGATGTTTTTGAAAACATCGTAGTTGAACTGAACACCGGAACACACAATAGTTGAGCAGTCTGCACCTATAGAGCTTTGTGGCTCATTTTTCCCACGTTGTGGAAGAGTTTTCGGTCTGTTCTCTGAGTGCTCCTTTCTCGCTGTTCGCTCCATTTCCCAGCAGGTTTCTGAAGTTGTTAGCTGGATCCCATTTAGACAGTTTTCAATGGGAAACTGTCCCTTCCATAAACAACACACAACCTTTGTTAGGAGACAGAAGAGCTGGTTGGTGCCCAGCTTTTACGCAACAGTGTAATCAAAGATCCTAGAAAAGAATCTCCAGTTCTTTGGGCTGCAGACTTGACGGAGCATGGAAGCTGGATGAATCCCTCAAATACTGTGGGATAACCTTTAAGCCATAAAGCCAAAATAACCCCTGAAGCCTTCTTAAAATCAGTGAAGTATTTTTAAATGCCACTTACACCTCTTGATTAGACTATCCCACTAACATTGTTTTACTATTCTTCACACATTACTGTGTTTTTTAAAAATTACATGTTCACCACTTACCAGAAAATACTTGGACTGCAGATCACTTTAGTTTTATCTACTGCTGCCCCTGGCATTTTGATTCTCCATAAATCTTAGGCTCCCAAGGCTTTGATATGACTTTAGAATTGTGATGAAATACACCTAACAAGTACCATTGTAATCACTTTATTTAAAGTGTACAGTTCATTGGTATTGAGTCCGTTTACTATGTTTTGTAACCATCAATACTGTCTAGTGTGAGAACTTTTTTCAGGTCCCTCCTGACGGTGTAATTCTAGGTTCAGTGTTATTTTAGTGCTGATAAAAGGGGGGAAATAGCACAATGGTAACAAAAAAAGGAATATGCAAAACACCATAACATGAATGAATGTGGAAAGAACGTTATACTCAGTGAAATCATCACTAAAGGGAAAACTTCTATTCCACTGTTTTCTGAGTTCACCTGTTCTTTAGTTTTATCTACTGCTAATCTTCACTTTGCTCTTTTGAGTGTGACTTTTGAGTGTGATATGCCTTTTCCTTTCTGTTTTTAGGAATTTAAGCAGTTTAACAGCAAGGGGGACACGATATACTAAGAATTTAGGGAGTGGTGGTGGTTTAGGGTTAAGGAACTGTGCTGTCAGACCTAAGCACAGAATGCACCAGCTGCTCTGCAGAGAACGAGGGCTGTGCCTCCTGTGTGATTTACTACGTCTGAACACCTGCTGGAGGGTCAGCAAGGAGTGGGTTCCCACTCGCTGGTACTTGACACGACTCTTAGCTGGAGGTTGTTCCCAACTGTTCTACCTTACAAACTAACTGCGTTTAAAGAGAGGCTTGGGGAAGGAACCTGTTTGTAATCCAGAAACTGCCTGTGTATGTATGATGTGTTTGCAGAACACTTAGATCACATAACACCATTTCACCGAATGTTAAGTGCTGTGTGGCCACATGAAGTTGTACAAATCTTATTTTCACTTAAATGAAATCTTACTTCATGTACCATTTCTTCTTCTTTGGGTTACTTACTATGTTTTGGTACTCTTAGCATACTTAGAATTCTTTTTATTAGATGTATATCATATAACAGGTGGTGGTGGTTATGTGTTGTCAAGTCGCCTGCGACTCATAGTGACTCATAAAACAGCTCTGAACCCTGCTCTATCCTGTGCCAACCTTATTGTCTCTGACACACCTACTCCCGTTATCCCAGTCACTGAGTCAGTTCATCTCATTGAGGGTCTTCCTCTCCTGCATTGTCCCTCCCAAGGACTGGTCCCTCCTTGCAACATGTCTAAAGTATGTTAGAAGAACGTCAGAATCCTTGCCTCCAAGGAGCAGCCTGGTTTCACCCTCTCTAGGATGAACAGAGATTAGATTTGCTATTTAACTTTCTGTATTGATTTGTATTTGCCTTACTATAATTATTTAACTATTAGGTTTTTCATTGAACATCATATATATGTAGGTACATATTTTAAATATTTAAATTTGTGTATTTAATTTGCTACAGTGTTGTTGATTGAAGGTTTGTAAATATCTAATTCTTGTGAGGTAGATAATTTTGCTTTGGACAATTTATTGAGGAATATTGTTGATTTAATTTCTCAAATGATTTGTGAGTAACTTTTTTTCATATTTATTGATCAGTTGAATTTCTTCTGTGAGTTGGTCATAGTTTTTCCCTATGCTTAAGGATATTTTATTAAGCTTTTGATACTGTGTTGGACATGTACAGTTGGCTGTTAATTCCTGAGTGAGTTAAGAAGCAGTGGGAGTTACTGCTGGACTCTCCAGGATCACTTGGTGGCTGAATGATAGAGGTTTGCTGACCTTCTGTCATTTCTGACCATTCTGTCTGAATGGAGGGCCAGGGCTTTTGTGTCCACTTTCTAACAACTGTCCTCACAAACATAGAAACTTTGCTGTGTCTCCATAATTTATCTCAGAGTTTCTCATTTCCAGTTAAGGAACTTGTCCATATTTAGCAACTTAAGAGACATTTTTTTACCTAAAATCTCTCATAAATCTCTGATATAATTGGTTTTTTAAGTAATAAGCAAACATTTTGGTGGTTTTTATGTGACAACACTGTACTTATTATTTATATTTATGCAATTTTGTAGATGGAGTCTTAACATTGAATTCAGAGAATAATTATGCCTACCAAGTTCCAAACTTCCATAAATGTGAAATCTGCCTACAGTCTTTCCAAAAAGAGTCCCAGTTTCAACGTCACATGAGGGACCATGAGCGGAATGACAAGGTGTGTATTTTCAAGGGGGCTATCAGCAAGGTGAGAGTTAAAACTAGATGTATTAACAAAGTCTTACCTGTCAAACTCAATTTTTCCATATAATCTGAATTCCTTGTGTGTAGAATGCTTTATATCCTATAAACAAATATTGTGCATTGTAGTTACTACGAAGGGATAAGAGGTATTTTAAAAAGATGACTTTTTTAATATACTTTGACATACTGAATGAAAAATCAATGGTATCTTGTTATGTTTTTCTCTAGCAGTGAGTTTTGCGCTGAATGTTTTTGCATTGCACAGTTCTGGGTATTTTAGATTGTACCTCAATAGGGGAGGAACACTGTAGGAACTGGAGGCTTGGGCTCTTTCATGTCTTGCTTTTGGGGGCTATGCCAAGAATTCTGATGTAAATGGAGGCATCTGATAGGTGCAAAGTGCCGCAGAAGCCACATTGACAAGAGTGACACCTGACTGCCACTGTAGGAAATGTGAGCCTGAGAGCATTTGACAGCAGAAGCATCAGGGGTCTTGCTGGGGAGCAGGATGGACCCACCCCAGCTCCATCTTCAGCACCAGTTGTAACACTAAGATGTTACAGTGTGGTACTGACTTTACCAGTCGTTAGTGCTCTCTCGCCTGCTGGAAATTTGCATATCCTGGCACGTTGCTTACTAGGTACTGGTTCCATTTTAGCAATTCCAGAGTTTGTTCTGTCTCTCTACAAGGAAGGGACAGGCTCATTTGAATTTTGGAAACGTTCAGGCTGAGATATGCAATGTTTTTAAAGACTAGGAAAAATTTGATGTATGTTACTTGATTTTGGTTAGAGATTATTGAAGTTCTTCACGTACCAGAAAAGTACAGCCTAAAACTTTAGTTCTTGTGCAGCCCTTCTCGTTAGAGTTGTGTTGTGCATGTAGCATTGTGTTTTTGGAAGGATGTTTTGGAAGAGTTTGCTGATTTCAGATCTAAAAGTGGTTTCAGAAGTTTCTCAGAGAGATAGATTTTATGTTACGGTGCTTTGTCATGTTCTCATAATGCTTTAAAAATAAGTGAATGTAGAGAGGGTGTGTCTCAATGGCTTCTTTACTCTTTTCTCCAAATAGCCACATCGGTGTGACCAGTGCCCCCAGACATTCAACGTTGAGTTCAACCTGACACTTCACAAATGCACCCACAACGGGGAAGACCCTACCTGCCCTGTGTGTAACAAGAAGTTCTCCAGAGTGGCCAGTCTCAAAGCACATATCATGCTGCACGAGAAGGAAGAGGTAATCCCTCTGACGAAAGCTCCCATCTCCGATTTTCATCTGCATCTGGCCCCATCAGGACGTAGAGGTGGTTTCCAGTTCCTGCACAGTCCGCCTCTGATACAATACATCTTCTGGTTCGTGGAACGGGCACAGTGACTAAGCCCATTCTCCTGAGGGGTGATTTTGTCACCAGGGTACTGACAGTGTCTGAAGCTGTTGTTTCTTGTCCTGGCTTCAGGAATAGCCAGAGGTGGTCCTGGTGTCTGATGTCAGGGAAGCTGCTAATGGCTACCGCTGTAGGGCAGCCCTACAAGAGTGAGCTGGCCTAAGTGTGCTGAGGCTGAGGGACCCTGGACTTGCACGGTTGTGGTACGTGACAGAACCTTCTAGAGTATGCTGTGTCTGGGCTTTGGTCCTGGTGGGCTCCACCCAGTTTTTACCATTTCTGAGCAAGTTTTACATAATCTGAGTTTCTGCTCAGGAACTATGGAAATCCCAGAAGCCTGCGAACATGATTATCTGGTAGGTAGTAGAGCAGAGTCAAACATGACCCCAAAATCATTCCTTTACTAACCCATCAAGACCATTATCCCACAGCAGCAAGAAGCCAGTAAAACACTAATACTGTTTTAAAATAATTTTAGTTGAAACCACTATACAGCCCTGTCTGTCCTCTTCTGCATGCCCTCTGTGCACTCTCATGATGCAAGGCGAGGTGTTCACACGTGCGGAAGACTAGTGTTCATAAGACAGCTAGCTATGCATTTTATTTGTAAATAACAGCTTATGTTCATTGGCAGGTTTTGTACACTGCTCCTGCTCTTCCCATGTTTGCAAAGTTTGTTTTGAAGTTCTCTTCAGTACGTGCTATGTTAAGGAGCTCTGAAAAAGAGAACCGATTGACCTTAGAAGTGAGTGAACTGCTGGGATGGCCATGTTTAGTAGGCTTCCTGGGCGCATGGTCTTAGGGGATGTGCCAAAACGCCTGACTGCACATCACAGGGTGGGCATTTCCAACCCACCAGCCAGTCCATGCAAGACAGAGGCACTCTGCTCCTTTATAGCTTTGGCCTCAGGAGCCCCTCAGAGACGTGGTGTCTGTGAGTCAGAATTCACTCGCAGGCGTTGTTTTATGTCTTAGCTACCCTGGGGAGAAGGATCAGTCTGTTGCATAGGCTCAGAACAAGTACACACCTACGCTCGTGCAGCTTGAATCCATACTTACTAGAACATGTAGACCACCACTGTCTACTGGAAATAAAGTATGAATAATTAAAGGTTTCCCATCTGCTTCCTAAACAACATGCCTCTGGAAACTATCAGCTTTGGTAAATGTCGTTAGTTGTAGAGGGGCTTCAGGCCTTTTGTTCTTAGGGTTGCTTTGAGTTGTGCTCGACTCGGCCCCAATCAACAACAATAGTCAAAACCAGCAGATGAAACGACTTAGTTTTACTAAATACTGAATGTCATAAACCTAGGATCTTATCAAAAGAGCCACAGTGGCAGAGCATTTAAAGCCTTTGGCTGCTAACCAAAACACTGGCACTTCACACCCACTAGTTGCTCTACCAGAGAAAGCTGTGGTTGCCTGCCCCCCTTGAGAAACTCCCTGTCCTAAAGAGTCTGGGGACTGGGATCTGCGTCCCGACAGTGGACGCTTAGTGAAGAGGCGGGCAGTTAAAATAGAAAAATACTGCTACATTTTATATTTTTTTTTCTTGGTAGCAGATGAAATGCATTTTATGAATATACTTCATATTTTTATGGTAAAATATTATCAATTAAAATATTAAAAATACTGAGATATTTCATAGTCTTATTGGTAAGTAAATTGTGTTAACATGTTTGGTATACAGTAATTCAAATCTAAGAATACTGAATAGTTTATGTGTTTTTTTTTTATAGCTGAGGAAATAGATTTTATTAATGTGTTTTATATACCCAAGATATTCTAAATTGGAATAGAAAATAGATGAGATAATTTCTACTCTTTTGTAGTAGGCAAAATGCATTATATTAATATATTTAGTACACCCCACCACCACCTGTTCAGACCACCAGTACACACTGGTACCCCCACGTGGGCAGACGCCTCAGAACCTGGTATAATTCCATGTGCTTTTTCATAGTCTTCTCTGCCTTTAACCAATTAAAATCATGAAAAGAGATTTCCACCTACAGGTGTACCAGCTGTTGCTTTGCTTTAGGCCAGTTCACCAAGTTGTAATAGCCCTGAGGGCAGAGTGCAGAATGTGTTGGACCTGAAGAGCCTCTGTGGTTTGAATCCACCGGCTGCTCCGGGAAGAAGCACCAGACAGGCTCCTGCCTTAGAGACTGCAGCATGGGAAGCCTGTGGGAGCGTCCCGTGAGAAGGGCTGACTGGACGGCAGTGGTTTGGTTTAGTGAGACATCCTCCGCTGACCCTGTGTCATGGTGATGTTGTCTCCTTCCCTGAAATTTTTACAGAGCAGATAGACAAAATGTAAATTGGCCTGCTTCTGATTTAAGGCTTAGAAGGTGGTGTTTGTGCCTCTTTTGTTTCAGTCAAGGAGACGTGGTGTTTCTGTATGTGATGAGGGCTTCCCAGGGCGTGCACTGGGGCATGCCTGGGAGTTTGGACCTCTCCTGGGTGGGGCCATTCCATGGAGCTCATGGCTGTGCCTTCTCCCCAGAACCTCATATGCTCGGAGTGTGGGGACGAGTTCACCCTGCAGAGTCAGCTGGCCATCCACATGGAAGAGCACCGGCAGGAGCTGAGCGGCCGCCGGACGCATCTCTGCAAGGCCTGCAAGAAGGAGTTGGAGACGCCCGCCCAGCTCCGGGAACACGTGAGGACCCACGGCAGAGTCAGGTGAGGGACCGCTGGGCCCAGCTCCAGGAGCATGTGGGGACACACGGCAGGGTCAGGTGCCGCCAGCTTGGGCATGGGGAATCCCTGGCCGTGCTGTGCCGTGGGCAGCTCACACACAGATGCTGTCTTGGGGATAAGATCCTTGTGAAGTCTCACGGCTCCATCAGAAGGAGAATGAGTTCCATGATGCTGAGCGCGCAGTGCTAGTACACACACCTGTGTGCATGCACATGGTGGGGCCCTGGGAGCAACGAGTAAAGCACTCAGCCACTGTTCAAACATACCAGCCACTTCCTGGGAGAAAGGTGGAACAGTGTGTTTCTGTACCGACTGCGGCCTGGGAATCCCCTGGGCAGTCTGCTCTGTCCTTTGTGGTCACTAGGAGTCACCATGGCTCCAGCTGTGGGCTCTGAGGCAGCTGAGATGGTTAGGATGCCACAGGACCCAGGAAGGTTTCCTTCTGGGGTACACTGCATCTGACAAGCAATGACACCTTTCTCTGCGTCTATAGAAGCCGTTCTGGTGGTGCAGTGAGTTACGTGTTGAGCTGCTAACTGGAAAGGCGTTGCCGTGGAGTGGAACTGACTCATAGCTGACTCCTCCAGCAGGTTTTCAGAGGCTGAACATTGCCTGGGATGAGATTGTCTATCCCTTCTCCTGTGGAGCAGCTGGTAGATTTGAACGGCCTACCTTTGGGTTGTCAGTACAGCTGCTCACCCCTAGGCCATCGGAGCTCTACTGAAAGATCAGTGATTAGACTCCAACAGCTGCTCCCTGGAGAGAGATGGGCAGTCTCTTCCTCTTAAGATTTATAGGTTCAGACAGCCAGCCGGGTGCTGCCAGGAGTGGGGATTGACCAGAAGGCAGTGGCTCGGGTCTTTGGTTTTATATCTAAATATGATGTCTCATGAAAGCACTTTCTGCTTGTCCTCAGCAAAGCTTTCTGGTGACTTGAATTTGAGATTGTAATCTCAAAGAGGTCCTGTACTGTAATTGAGAACATGTTGCCTCTCTCTCCTACTAGGGTCTCAGGAACTAGGTCTTACAACCGGAACATCGACCGAAGCGGGTTTACTTACTCGTGTCCTCACTGTGGAAAGACCTTTCAAAAGCCCAGCCAGTTAACTCGGCATATTCGGATCCACACAGGTAGAGACAGCGAGTGTTTGTCCCTGAGCGCCAGCGAGCCGAGCCTCCTGGCTGCAGCTTCCCTGGTGTGTTCTGTGGGGATGAGGGGGGTCAAGTCTTTCCCTAGCTGTTAGGATCATAATGGAAAGAACCTGTGTTGAGATCCCAGCCGAGCCCCTGTGGTGAGGCAGGCTCTCTGTAGTGGAGAGTCTGTTGTTATTGATAGGTGTTTAGTCCCATTGATGTGGTTTCAAATGTCCCCTTCATTTAATTCCGAATGAGCCAGGCTCCTGCGGGATGTCGGGCTGTGTTCTGCACTAACTTCACTGATAGGCTGGAGAATCCTGCAGGACCTTATCCGATGCACTTGTTGCTTCGCTTGAACCCTTGATGGGAGCACTGCAGTCGTGGCTGGGGAGGCTTTACCAGCCCTTAAAGTCGGGTCATAGTGTGGTGTTCGTGACACTGAGGACCCTCTAGCTCAGGACAGAACTTTGTAGGTTTTTACTGTCTGTGAAATCAGAGCAGCCCATGTTTTTCCCTGGGCCTTTCCTACAAGCCCCTTCTGTCTAGCTGCTCTGTGGCCTCTGACTGGGCAGCCTCCCAGCGTTGGCGGGTGGTTTCTCTTGCCCAGCTCATCAGGCTCCACTGCTTGTTCCTTTCTCAGCATTCCTGGGAAATGTCCTGTGTGTAGGCAGACCTCGGAGGCAGTGTGATTCAGCCTCAGATCACAGCAGTGCAGGCATGAGTAGCTCGGAGCAAGTCCCAGGAACATCTGGTTCCCAGTGTGTCTGTACGGTGCTGTGTGCCACGTTCAGTTACTGTTGTTGTGTGCCGTCAAATCGCCTGCGACTCACAATGGCCCTAAACCCTGCCCTATCCTGTACCAATCTCACTGTCTCCAACACACATACCCCCATTACCCCAATCACTGAATCAATCCATCTCATCGAGGGTCTTCCTCTCCTGCACTGTCCCTTCACCCTCCCAAGCATGACGTCCCTCTCCAAGGACTGGGCCCTCGTTCTAACAAGCCCATAGTATGTCAGAAGAAGTTTTAAAATCTTTGCCTCCAAGGAGCAGCCTGGCTTCATCTTCTCCAGGATGAACTTATTTGTTCTCCTAGCAGTCCGTGGTCTATTCAGTACACTTCTCTAGCACCACAGCTCAAAAGCATCAACTCTCCTATTATCCCTAGACATTGTTCAGCTCTCTGATGCATAGCAAGTGATTGCAAAGACCATGGCCTGGATCAGGTGCACCTTAGTCTCCAGACTGACATCGTTGCTCCTCAGCACTTTGGAGAGGTCTCTGACAGCAGACTTTCCTAATGTAATACGTCTTTTACATGTGTGGTAGCATGAAGGAAAAGTGTGAGATTGTGAATGACCAAGTGTGACACAGACATGCAGTCAGCACATGTCACTGATAGACTAGCTCAGTGCAGGGTGGCTTCAAGCCACATGGCAGCGTCTGTGATGCCACAGTGAGCTCTGCCTGTCCATCTCAGGGTCATTCAGATGCTCTGCAGCTGCTGGGGTGAAATGGATTGCAGTGTTGGGGGCCTGTTTCTCCTGGAAAAGCAGTGGTCTACTGAACCAACCTCTCCAGGCCTGCAGCCCAGGCCCTGGAAGTGGTGGACAGTGGACTCTGGACCTAGGAAGGTGATTGTTTGCTGGGAGCGCGTTCCTCCAGGCCTCTGAGCGCCCTTCTGGAAGTGCTGTTCTGAGAGTCCCTTCTACTCTTAAGACACAAACACCTGCTTATTGTTGGGTTTTGGTACAAACTTTTGTCCTAACAGACGTGGAGATATCAGGAGGAAACCCCAGGTATTTGGTTTTGAGATCTGTATGTGCTTTTAGAATGTATTCATTGTGTTGTGGGGTTTTTTCCCTGTTACAGTGAAAGTTTACAGATTACATAGGCTTTTCGTTCAATCATTCATACACGTTTTGCCTTATATTAATTACACTTCATTGTTGTTATTAGGTACTGCTAAGTCTCTGACTCCTAGTGACCCTGAGAACCACATATCTGAACCTTGCCCTGTTCTGCTCTGTCCTCATAATCTGTTAGCGTCAAGTCACTCTGACAGCCCATCTTGGTGAGGGGCTCTCTCTCTTTCGCTGACCTTCACCTTCCCCAGCCTGATGTTTCTCTCCAAGGATGGTTCCTCCTGAGAATTTGCCCAAAGAGAGACGATGTGTCTCCGTCCTTTGCCTCTGATGGGCACTCTGATTTGGTTATTGGTTTGGCAGTCTGTGGGATATGCAGTACTCTCTGCCAGCTGATCAATTAATGACAGTGTCTTGTCTGTTAGGGTGTATTGCTCCTTAAGTCTTGCTGTCACAAATGCACTGGAAGTTTGTATTGACATGTGGGTCGATAAGGCTCAGAACATGTTGTTGTTTTGTCTGGTTAAAGATGGTGACGTTTGGGGTGAGGGAGGGTCTCACCCCCTGTGCCAGGTGCCCACAGGTGTGCTTTCTGACCCCTATTTCGCCCTGCAGGTGAGAGGCCTTTCAAGTGCAGCGAATGTGGAAAAGCCTTCAACCAGAAGGGGGCACTGCAGACACACATGATTAAGCATACAGGTGAAAAGCCGCATGCCTGTGCCTTTTGTCCTGCCGCCTTTTCTCAGAAAGGAAACCTTCAGTCCCATGTACAGAGAGTTCACTCAGAGGTAAACAGTCTTTGTGCTCACACGGCATTTTGTGGATGTGCGTGCAAAGGGAACAGATGGTGGCCGAGTCTGACTTCTACTCACTCCATAAAGGGGACTGTCCTCTTCAGTAATATCTGTAGCAGCAAACAGATCCCTGCTTGGTCAGACACGGCACTCCACATGTTCCTGTACCTCTTTCGACCAGTCATTCAGGTCCAATATACATTGTTGACTCACAGACTTTACTCACAGTTGTGGTACCAAGAGTGAGGTTTAGTAAGGAACCCAAGTCCAGCAGTTGGAAGACATAATTCCTCAGTCCAGGCTCTGGTTTCAGTTCAGTGGCCAGCTTTTCCTGCCATCATCAGCAAGAACAGCAAAGCCTTTAACAGTGGCCTTTACCTCAGGGCTCCCCTGGGTACACCTTGCCACCGTCTCTCCACCACCATCACCAGGGTCTTGCTCTCTCCAGGGTTTTGCTCCAGTCTCCTTCAAGTCTTGCTTCTCAGCATGGGAAGCACTATCTCTCTTATCCTACTTCCATAGCTGTTGATGGAGACCAGGGGTGCTAATGTAATAGTTAGAAAAGCCAGCTTTTCTGCTAACACCTCAATGCAGTAGTTGTCTCCAGTCAGGGACAGAGCAGAGAAGTGCCCTTGCCAGTTTAGGTCTTTGTGCCAAATGAGGCCCGTTACACACACATATGGGCAGCATGTACACAACACACGGGCACACAGAAACATTGATGGTTTATCATAGGTACAAGAAATAATAGCATCTTTTTGTGTTCTTACAGTCACCATTATAGCCCTGATGAATAGATACTTGAAAAGAGTTACCTTTAATGGTTCTAATTCAGCAGTTTGAATAGTAAGGTATTTCACCCCTTAGTAAGATTGAAACTCAGACTGGCACGCTCACCTGCAGGAATGGGACGATGAGAAGGGTGGTTGAGGAAAAGTGTTCTTCCTGCTGCCCCACTGGTGCAGTCCGTGGCTTCTGCAGGCGGGTCCACTGTGCTGCGTGCTCGTGTTTGCACTGATGCCTTCTCCAGACTCCACTGAGGTGGATTCTCTGGAACCACTACGGTTCAGTAGGTTAGCTTCTGCTCTTACTAATGACAATTTGATGTCTGATGCCTAACTGCAGAAAATAAAGGCATATTTGAGCCACAAATAATTTTATAAGGGGCAGTTTTTGACTGTCATGTTATTGTGGTTATATGGTGTCAGCCACGACTCACAGCGGCCCTGTGAGCAGCTGTTCTAAAGCCTGTCCTTGCCCTCAGACATACTAACCTCTATGGAACACTCAGCCACTTCGAGCCCCTGGGTGAGAGATGATAGGGCCACCAGATATAACAAAGGCACGAAGTAGACATTGCCTTTGATTTTAGATAAGATTTAGGTTTTATTTTTAAAATTTAGGACTCTAAAAAGGAAAGAAGATGTTACACAGTTCACAGTTTCACAGTTTATAAGCCGATTGAGAAGTATATGAAATTGAGTTTTATCCCCTGAGAGGCAGAGACGTTAGTAGATGTGTAGGTGAGTGAGGTGATGGCAACTCAAGTGGTTGCTGCTTACGGCTGAACCATAGACGGGACAGACGAGGCCCTGCTATGCAGACAGGACTCCTTGGGAGCGACTGTATACTCCACACTGCTCTGAGAATGTGCCTGGGGACCATGGGGCAGCCCACGTTCCTGAGTTTAGGGAGCTTCTGGGACCTCAGAAACGAGCCTGCCACTTTAGTGGATGTTCTGGAATGTTCCAGGAAAAACTATCTACAGAGGCTTATCTAGAAACATTAGCCAGCATGGTGGGGCATCAGAAGCCTTATGTATGCTTCTAACAACGGCCTGACCTTCTTGGTGGAAGTCCCGTAAGCTGAACCCTGCCAGCCAGCCTTTCAGATCAGTTTTCACCATGGTGGGGACCAGGCGGGCACCACTGTCCCAAGAGAACTCTTGGCTCAGCCATGTTTTTACATGAGCTGCTGAATATCTGAATTGGTGCTGAAACTCAGAAACTGTGAGACATTCCCATCTGTAATTTGAATGATATTCCAAAACCTATTTGGAGTAATTATTAAGTCCAGCTTCCCAGCATTCAGTCGTTTTTAGAATTGTACTTAACTGTTAATTAGTACGTCAATTTAGGGAGCTCTGGGGGCTCATTGGTAAGGAACTGAGCTGCCAGTACAGAGGTGTGTGTTTCAGATCCTCCAGCTGTGCTGTGAGAGGAAGGTGAACTCTGCCCCTGTGCCGTTGACCGCTCCTGAAAACCTGGCCGGACGGTCAGCTTTGTGTCAGTTCTGACTCAACAGTACACAGGATCAACCCCCGTCTGGGTTCCCTGCGCGTAATAGGAATAACTGAAATCTGCCTCTTCATTCATGGACCCAGTTATAGAAGAGGCTCTAACCCACGCAGGCTGTCGTTGGCATGGAGCTGTACCCTGGCTTCTGCAGCTGCTTGATTGACAGGAAAAAAGGGATGTAGGGGAGGTGGGCGGGTCTGACGTTTTCAGTGGTGTGAGTGACACTTGACGATGTGCCGATAGTTTAAGGATGAACTAGAAGAAATCATTCCCTTTTTTCTTTCTTTTTTCTTCTCTAAGGTCAAGAACGGCCCTACCTATAATTGTACAGAATGTAGTTGTGTATTTAAAAGTTTAGGCAGCTTAAATACTCATATCAGCAAGATGCACATGGGCGGGTCCCAGAACACGGCCAGCACCTCAGAAACGGCACACATTTTAACGGTAAGTCCACTGATTTGCTGTAGGAGTTGTTTTGCTGCTTTTTCTCCCTAAAATCTGTCACCTTTCAAAATTTTATTTCTGTACAATGAAGTACTGTGGAAGTTATCTGTGAAGGCAAGGTCCTACTTTGGTGTGTTTGCTTTAAATTACGGAAAGCAGCTTTTAAAATTGTCCACGATTATGTCATCCCGACATGACCTCGGAGCCTGTAGAAATAAGACTAAATGTAGTCATTAGCCTGTGGTGCTGTTGGCTTTCCTAATACAATGACATGAAGACTTGTCACTGTGGGGCTAGTTCATCCTTGTCTGATATGACAATGCCACTTCTCCCCAAGGCTTTGGGCTTTCCCAAAAGGTACCGTACATGTAGATTTTAAATGTTCTAACTGAAAGCACACATATTTTTCTTCATTTTATGCGGGACTGTGTCACTCAGCCTTGGTCTGTTGCTCCTTATACACTCTCTGGATAATATGGGGAAATTGGCATAGAAGACTCCGTCTGGAATGCTCAGATGGGCGGGAAGTTCTCTGTTCTGATACGCCTGGTGCCTGTCGGGGGTCGAGGTGAAGTCAGCAGTGCCTCCTGTGGGACGCACGTGGTGCTCATGCCATGCTTCTAAACACCAGGGTCACTTGCCATTTTATTTTGTTTTGTTTTCTTCATAATCTTTGCAGCTGGATTTCTCAGTTTCTTCCTGATCAAGGAGAATTTTGTAGATAAATTCCTAAATTTGGGAATAATTAAGCCTTGGAAACTCTGCTTTGATGGGATGTTGTTTCTTTTGATGCTCTTTTCCACCTGTGGGTTGTAAACAGGTGATTAGAGTCCCCATCGTTTGGTTTGGCAGTGTGTCAGCGAGTGTGTGCAGAGCATGGTGGGGTGAGTGTCGGGGCTCTGCCTCCCAGCTCTGTCCTCAGGTGTTTATAACTCTTGGAGCAGTTTCCTCCAGGTGGCTTTAGGACTCTTATGGCAGAATGGATTTGTGTGGGGCAGCTAACCCAAAGGTCTGCAGTTCAGACCCACCATTTGCTCTTTGTGAGGAAGATGAGAAAGTCTCCTCTGGGCAAGATGCCAGCCTTGCAAGTCCCAGGGACTTCTCTGCCCAACAGCCCTCCTTTCTGAGAAGTCTCCTTTCTGACCTGCTTTTCCACCAAGACATTCTTTCTCGTTCAGTGCGTGATCTGGAGTCTCTTAGGGCATTACCTAGGACTTTCTTTCTAAACCTCTTCTGCTCGTTGGGTCCTGGCCTTCTTCCCTGCACACCAGTGTCTTTCAGAAGTCATGCTGGGTCTTGTGGACACAGGTGGATTTGCTGACCAGCGAGAGTCGCTGTAAGTGCCTGTGGCTTGAAACAGCACGCCAGAGCCTCTGAAGCCAGCCGTCGTCTTAGGTCTGGGCCCAGAGCCCTGCAGGCTTGGCTCCTCGTTCCTTTCTTGCTGTTCTACTGGAGACCGTGTGTTGCCATGGGCCTGCTCTGTGTCTCAGGCCTGGGAGCTTCCCACTGTCTCTCAGTTTTCCTGAGTCCTGAACTGCAGGAATGAGGCACCCTGAGTCCAGAATTGGACAGTGAGTTCCTGCCTGCCCTCTCCTGTTCACAAGAAGTGTGGGCTGCTTCCTGCACAGCAGCCTCTTCCCATAGTCTTGACTCCATCCTCTGGCTCTTTCATCCTGTCATGCCGAGCTGATAGTCTGCTTCCAGTTCAAAACCACAATCCATTTATGGAAAAGTTATTTGACGATGGTCTTTTAAGAGCCAGTGTTGTACCCAGCAAAAACACGAGGCATTCCCTTTACACTTGCTTTTAGGTATGCTGTTCGGTTTTGGTGTTTATCGGTTGCATACTGCTTTTCTTTTTGTTTAATAAGAAAAATGGAGGTGGGAATAATGTGAGTTTTTGTTTTTCTAATAAAACTACTGCTGTGTTTCAGGCCACGCTCTTTCAGGCCTTGCCCCTCCCACAGACAGACGTCCAGGTCACATCGTCATCCACCCCGCAGGGCTCACAGGCCGTCACTGACGTCATCCAGCAACTCCTAGAGCTGTCGGAGCCGGGCCCGGGGGACACCAGCCCGCCGTCCCAGCCTAGCCAGCAGCTGAGCATCACCGTGGGCCTCAACCAGGACATCCTGCAGGTGAAGCTCCTTCCCAGCCCGCACGCCAGGTCCACTCTGAAGGCAGATGTGTCTGCTGAGAAGTTAGGGGAGGCATAGGCTGCTTTAGTCACACCTGGACAGTGCCAGTCCAAAACCATTTCGTCATCGATACGTTAAGAATTATAAAACCCTGGCATTTTTTTTTCTCTGTAATTGGATTTCTTTGCAAAGACCTGCCGTTTAGGAACTCTTAGTATCTATCCCTGGTAACCAAGGTGTGAGAAGGGTTGTATTCTTGAAGTTTGTGCTGTTAAGAGTTCTGGGAGAATGTTGTGTCAGGTGTGAGGGAAGAGACGCCGGAGTGGGGGCCTGGCCTCGTGTCATGCTCACTCCATCTGTAGTCTTTTCCTTGCTCTCTTCTTGCTTTTAAAAATCCTGTCCTCTCTCATCTCCTTTGTGGTGAGAAGTTGGCCAGGGCGAGAGACCTGTCAGAAAGTCAGGATACTGCCCATGTCTTAATGGTGAAAACCAAGTTTACTTTTACTTTTCTCCTCAAGACCAGCAGTCACATCCCTTGCCAGTGGGTCAGTCCTGACCCCTCCTGACTCTAGGCCAGAGGAGAATGCCTCACAGGATTCCAGGCTGTGGCTGCCCACATCTCGCACAGGGCGTTGGTGGGTGTGACCCGCCCTTTGCTTAGTAGCCCAGTGCTTAACTACCATGGTCCTGTGCCCTCAGATAGTCATTCCCAAAATGTCTCGTAACAACCAGATTGTCTGCAGTAAGAGCTGCAGAAATCAGCTGGAGCTGGAGCTGGGAAAGTAGAAGGGGTGCAGTATCAGCTGGCACAAGGGGCTCCAGTCCTAGGCAGTTGGAAGCCCCTTGACAGGTGATTCCTGGGCCATGTGCCCCTGTGCTGCAGTCAGGAAGGCCTCACCACACCGCTCTCTGTGATTGATTTTGGTAGGCAGGTGCGGGCCGTCCTACCTTCTAACCTCGTAGTTTTGTTCTGTCTCAGCAAGCCTTAGAAAACAGTGGGCTGTCTTCAATTCCAGTTGCAGCTCATCCAAACGACCCCAGCCATGTAAAGACGCCCCCCGCCCAGATCCAAAGTCCAGATGTTGCCAGCGTCTCTGGTGAGCAGGCTGAGCCTCCCGAGATGGAGCCAGAGAAGCGTCAGGAGAGCCCTGAAAAGCTGGACAAAAAGGAAAAGAAGATCTTGAAGAAGAGGTCGCCCTTCCTCCCAGGTAATGTGATGTGCGTGAGCGGTTACCCCTCCAGGACACACGCCATGCGCTCTCAGGAGCTGCTGGGGCAGGAGCTGGGAATGTCTAGAGTGGTGCCGTGCTTTGGTGTTTACCATGAAGAGCGGTTCAAGGAGGCTCTCCGTACTTGCCCCTCCCAGGACTAGTTTCTGCTCCCAGGGCGAGAGTGGAGCTAGGGTTCGACTCCTCCCACCCCACCATCTAGTCAGTGGGGCTGGGGCCAGAGCCACACCCCTGGACTACTTTCTGCTCCCTTTTAGTGAGGGGCTGGAACCTGACCTCCCACGCCTGCTGCCTGGGTTCCGCACCTGCAGTTGGCCCACGACGGCCTTTAGCCCATGTGTATGTACCTTTTGCCAGAGGAGGTCTGGCCTCCTGACATCTCCCTTTCTGTGCTCCACCCCCTGAGAGAGCCGTACTGTGCTCTCTGGAGCCCAGCTCCCTGACTTGACCCCTTCCTTCTTCCCAGCTCCCTTCCTGGAAGAGGAGCCAGCCACTACTGCATTTCCTGTGCTGCGTAGCAACCTCACGTAACAGACGGCTGCGTAGGGTTTTGTGGCTGTAATCTTTCTAGGATCAGATCTCTAGACCCTTGGTGCATGAGGTGGGCTCAAACTGCCAGCCTTTTAATTATCAGATGAACACTTCTTGTTTTCTCCACCCAAAGAGCAGGCAAGCCCTCCATAACCTGCCTGATCTTGCACCTCTTCTTCCGACCACTCTTCTTCTAAGCCAGTGTCATCAGACAAGTGCACTCCTCTCTGTTTCTAATCACGTCACTCCCGTGAGCCTCACACTGCCCGCAGGCCCTTCTATATTAGGAAGGTCTCTCTAGAAACCCACCTTGCTTCTCCTCCATCAGACTGAGGTCAGCCTCCAGCCACCTGCTCACAGTTCTAGGGCTCGTCCTGCTCTCAGTGCCCTCAGCACTGGAGTGCCCAGTGACCCTGGTGGTCCCTTGGTCAGCTGTGGTGGGAGCTGTGGCCCTGCAGACATCTCCTGCTAGTTCTGCTGACCCCCAGTGCCAGGTGCTCAGCCCTGGTGATGCGGAGCCTCCCTGGAGGGACCTAGAACTTCCCTGAAACTGTGCAGACCCTTCCTGATGCCACACACAGCCTCCCAGAACTTGGGGAGCCTTCCAGAACCGTGTACAGCCTTCCTTGCGCCACCTAGAGCTCCTTTGGTTCACACAGGGCCTGGCCCGCTGCACAGGTGTCTCCTGAGAACACTGTCGTGGTAGATCGGAGCCTTCTCGGGCACAGGGTCACCTTGGCGTTTGACCCAGTGTGCCTTCAAAAGACAGCACATGCATAGTCTCTGTGGAGCCACTGACACCTCTTCTTGAGGTACATCTGTAGTTCCCTCCCGAATCCTTTGAGGGACACATCTCGAAGTGGTCCTCTGGAGGGAGAATCGGACCATTCCCTCAGAACTCAGGCGGTGACCTTTGTCCTGCTCACTTCTAGGTGATGGTGGCCCAGGCAGCCCCCATGCTTCCAGAAAGCCCCAAAACAATCCCATGGCGCCCTGCCTCCTCACGACCTGACCAGGACTTCCCAGTGGGCTTCCTACGCTCATCTTTATGGTAGCAAGCTGCCTTTTTCCCAAGGGGCAGCTGGTGGGTCTGACCTGCTGACCTTAGAGTTAGCAATTGAGAGCTCTTAACCCCTGGACCTCCCCGGGTCCCTTTGGGTTCAACACTGACCTTGGTGTAGAGCCCTCAACAAGAAATTGCTATTAACATTTCTATAGCATGTTATTAATACAACATTCCACACCCGTCTCCCATTGACCAGCCCCTGATGTGATGTTCTAAGCCTCAAGTAATCAGGATTCCTCTGATTCTGACCGTATCATGCTGCTGTCAGTCTTTTACGATGCGGTCAGTATGACTTGAAATTAAAGTTCTTAAGTACAACTCTCATGTACAGCTTCTTTTCCTGGAAGATCCTGAGAAAAAGGACTCTTAAACTTCCTCTCCAGGATTGACTTCTTGTGGGTTAATACCACTTGTCTTCTGTTTGCAGCCTGGTGCTGATACAAGTGGATGGCTTTCCAGTAGAGAGAATGTGTCCTCCCCTCCAGGACCATTGTACAACTTTTGTTTCTTGACCCAAAGGAGGCAGTCATCAGAACAGAGCAGGGAGACACTGGATAGTTCAAAATCAAGAAGGGGGTCCGTCAGGGATGTATTTTGTCTCCATACCTTTTCAATCTGTATGCAGATTGTATGTATGTGGCATCAGGATTGATGAAAGAATCATCAACAACCTGCATTATGCAGATGACACAAACCTGCTCGCTGAAACTGAGGAGGACCTGAATCCCTTGCTGCAGAAGGTCAAGGACTGCAGTCTTTAATACGGATTGAAGCTCGATATTAAGAAAACAAAGATTCTCACCACTGGACTAATTGGCAGCATCAGTATGGATGGTGACGAGATTGAGATAGTTAAGTTTTAGTTTACTTGGCTCCACAATCAACACTCTTGGTAACAGCAGCCAGGAAATCAAGAGACGAATTGCATTGGGAAAGTCAGCTGTGAGGGACCTCTCAAGAGTACTGAAGAGCAACGACGGCAGGCTGGAGACTAAGGTGCGCCTGATCCAGGCTATCGTCTTTGCAATTACGTGCTATACATCGGAGACTTGGACAGTGAATAGGGATGATAGAAAGAGAATTGATGCCTTTGAGTTGTGGTGCTGGAGAAGAGTGTTGAATATACCATGGACAGCTAGGAGAACAAACAGGTTTGTCCTGGAGAGGGTGAAGCCAGAATGTTTCCTGGAGTCAACGATTCTGAAACTTCATCTGACATACTTTGGGCATGTTGCAAGGAGGGACCAGTCCTTGGAGAGGGACATCATGCTTGGGAGTGTGGAGGGCAGGCGCAGGAGGGGAAGGCCCTCTAGGAGGTGAATTGATTCAGTGACTGGGGTAATTGGGATGGGTGTGTTGGAGACAGATTGGGACAGAGCAGAGTTTAGGGCTATTGTACATAGGGTCGCTATGAGTCACAAGCGACTTGACGGCACATAACAACAACAACAACATATATATTCTTCATTTATGTATTGTTGTTGTTGATTGCCTTCAAGTTGAGCATGACTCATAGCGACCCTATGAACAAAAGCCCTGAAGCCCCTCTACACCTATTGACATTTATCAAAGCTCATAGAGTTTCTGGAGGCATGTTTAGGAAGTGGATGCCACTCCTGCTTCCAACATGTATGTGTATATATATGTTTATGTACGTATATGTTTGTTATTTTTTATATATACACATATAGTGTGAGTTCTCAGAGGGCCGTTGTCAGACCTGGTTTTGTTTGTGTGGCAGTGTAGGTCACACAGGACACAGGGCGGCCTGCACTGGGACGAGCATGCTGGGCCTGCCCTCCGTCACCCTCCGTCGCTGCTGTTCTGTCACACATTCTGCTGAATCTGGTTTACAGCAGATTCTCCCATGTCATTAAGAGAGGTAGTTTAGTTTTATTTGGAGGAAGACTTCAGTTGAGAGCCAAGTGTTCTATTTGTGGCTAGTTTTGTTTTCCCTTTGTATACTGGGAAGGTGTTGAGGTAACCATTGCACATCTCTTCATAGTTTTTTATATATTATTTTTAAGCCATCTTAAAGTTTCAAATTCTTTACTTCAAGAAGCATCTCCAAATTGCTTTTTGGTCACTTTTTTAAAAAGTACTTTTTCCTGTTTCCGAGTCGCCCTGCTGGCTTCTCTGGTTAGTCCTCATATGTCTCTTTGGGAGTTTTTCAGACACACCTCTCTTCTGTCCTGGACCTGGCCTTCCCTCCTGTGGGATTTATTCTTGCAGAGAGCATGAGATTAGGAAAATGCATTATCTCCCCTGAGATCTCACTTGCCACACACCTACTGATGGCTGACAGAGGAAAGCTGGAAATGTACCCTTTCCAGAACAAAACTGTCTGCGCAGACATGGTGCAACTTTTAAGTGTTCAGGTGAAATTCGTTGATGTGGACCAGCTGTACCCATTTCACCTGGAGTCTGCATGCATTATCTCGTGTATTTAGTGGTGGATGAATAAGGATGCAAGTGAGCAAAAGACTAAACAGAATTCTGCTGATGGTTTGTCATTTTGAATTTCAAGTTCTACTTTTTTACTTAATACACAAGTCTACGAGTGAATTTTCTGCTAAAAGTAGTACTTACTACAATTATCACCTGATCCACGGTTGAATAACAGTAATAGCTGGACTTAGAAAAGAGACACTCATATTTGATCATGAGCTGGTTCGACTTTTACATTGTAGTTTTGTATCTTAATGAAATTGTCTTTTCTTTCCTAAGAACTTACCATGTCCCAGTTAACCTATGTTGGCGAGGAACAAACGTTCTTCCTTATCGTCACGCTCCCGAGCTGTCGTGGAGTGTCTGCATGAGGCTCTTTTTGTCCTTTGCAATGACCCAGCTCCACGGGGCTACACTCCAGACCGCTGGAGCTCTGCCTCTCTGGTTAGAATTCCTGTCTGTAAGAGGCCTTGGTTAGATGAGTCTGCAGGATGAAAGTAGACCCTCTGCCGGCACCAGGAATGGCAACGACGTGCCCCCAGTTTTTGCCATCTGTTGGCTGTGTCCAGCCTTGCATAGGCACGGCGTGCTCTCTGCCTCCCGTGGGGGGTGCGGACGTCTCTCAGTCTGGCTGAGCACAGCTCTCTCACAGACTGGACAGTGTTTGCTTTGGTTCTGTCTTCCGTGTATGGATCTGACTCTGTGTTCTCTATGACCTCAGGCTCGATTCGTGAGGAGAACGGCGTCAGGTGGCATGTGTGTCCCTATTGCACTAAGGAGTTCAAGAAGCCCAGCGACCTGGTGCGTCATGTCCGCATCCACACCCATGAGAAGCCCTTCAAGTGCCCTCAGTGCTTCCGGGCCTTCGCTGTCAAGAGCACGCTGACAGCCCACATCAAGACACACACAGGCATCAAGGCCTTCCAGTGCCAGTACTGCATGAAGAGCTTCTCCACCTCAGGGAGCCTCAAAGTGCACATCCGCCTGCACACAGGTGAGTGCTCAGACAACTCAGGGCCCCAGTGCCGCCCCTGCGCACAGGTGGGCCCTGTCCCGCCCCCACAGCCCAGGGACAGGCACACCTGGTTTATTGCATTTCACTTTATGGTGCTTGGCAGGGATTTGTACTTTTACAGATTGAACATGTAGGACAGGCTCTCTTTGTGTCCCTGTGTCACATTTTGATCATTCTTGAAATCTTTCAAGTACTTCAGAAGGCTCCTGCCCGCTTAGTAGATTACAGTATAAGTATAAACAACTTTTACACGCACTGGGAAAGCACAGAATTCATGTGACTCACTTTATTGTGCTATCTGCTGTACTTCATGGCTCGAGAGCCAAACTCACAGCATCCCTGAGGTCCTAGAGTGAGGCAGCTTTAATGCGTATCGTGTGGAATCCACCTTTTCCTTTCCCAGTAGAATGGTAAGAGTTTCTTTCAGAAGAGAGGTGTAGTAGAGGATTTTGAGGAGCATAAGATGACCATTGTCATAATTACAGCAGGCCGTTTGTTCTTTGTTTGCTGAGTGCTGTGTGGGTGGTGTGGTGGGATGCTATTGAGTTGGTTTCATCTCACAGCGACCCCGCGGTGGCCAAGTAGGACTGCCCGATTGGTGGCCTCAGTGGTGTCTTTAAAGTAGCAGATTACCAGCAGTCCGCTGGGTGGGTTCAGATGGCCCTGGCGTTTGGCAGCTGCACACTTCACTGCTGCTCTGCCAGAGTGCCTTGTTTTAAACATTGGTATGTGTCGTCGAGTTGCCTGTGACTCGTAGCAACCCTTTGTACGGCAGCTCTGAGCCCTGCTCTGTCCTGTGCCAATCTCGTTGTTTCCGACACACCTACACCCATTACCGATATTGAATCAATCCATCTCATTGAGGATCTTCCTCTCTTGAGCTGTCCCTTCACCCTCCCAAGCATGATGTCCCTCTCGAAGGACTGATCCCTCCTTGTAACATGTCCAAAGTATGTCAGACGAAGCTTCAGAATCCTTGCCTCCAAGGAGCAGCCTGGTTTCACCTTCTATAAGACGAACCTGTTTGCTCTCCTAGCAGTCCATGGTATATTCAATACACGTCTCCAACACCATAGGTCAAAGACATCAGTTCTCCTTCTATCATCCCTAATCATTGTCCAGCTCTGTGATGCATACCAAGTGATTGCAAAGACCATGGCCTATATCAGGCGCTCCTTAGTCTCCAGACTGACAGTGTTGCTCTTCAGTACTTGGGAGAGGTCTCTGTCAGCTGACTTTCCCAATGCAGTTCATCTTTTGATTTCCTGGCTGCTGATATCAAAAGTGTTGACTGTGGAACTAAACAAACTAAAGCTGTTAACAATCTCAGTCTCTTCACCATCTGTCATGATGCTGCCAGTTGGCCCAGTGGTGAGAATCTTTGTTTTTTTGATATTGAACTTCAGTTTGTATTGAAGGCTGCAGTCCTTTAAACATTAGCCACTACAGTTCCAGCCAGAGCTCAGAGGCAAACACTGTGTGCTCTGTTTACGGAGTACTTGAGGTAGCAAGCCACCGTCCAGGTCTCAGAAATGTCAAGATAAGTACTTGTTTGAATGTCTGTAGTTTACAATTTAAGCCTTTGTCCTGGAATTAGCAAATATTCTCTTATTTAAAATGCTTTCATTATTTACAATAACCCCTGTGATATGCCCTGTAATCAGATGAGAAAAAAATACCACTAACTTAGATCAATCATGAAGTTACAAGGAGGGAAATGTTAACTGCATTATTTAAATCTGTGTGACAGTCGGAATTCTCTTTTGGCATTGATGTTTTGCTCATTGTGCTTTCTGGGTTTTGCTAGGCGTCCGACCTTTTGCTTGTCCTCACTGTGACAAGAAGTTCCGTACCTCAGGCCACAGGAAAACCCACATCGCCTCTCACTTCAAGCACACGGAGCTCAGGAAGATGCGACACCAGCGCAAGCCCACCAGAGTCCGCGTGGGCAAGGCCAGCACTCTGCTGCCCGAGATTCCGCTGCAGGAGCCAATTCTCATCACTGACGTAGGTGAGGGCAGGTGGGCAGCCAAGCCGGCGGCCTTGCAGTGGGCGCCAGCACCGTGTGCATAGACAGACAGTTGTAGACATGCTCTTTAGGAACCTTCTTCAAGTATTTACCTTTTGAGACAATGTGTCAGACAGAGCCCAAACTATAGTTTATCTAAGTGAATACTCCCACCTTGGGTCCTGGAAGATGGAAGTGGTATGGAAGTGTAGAAATGAGTGTCTTCTTTACCCATTGTTGCGATAACAGAGGTGCCAGAAGTGGGTGGCTTTCACAAACAGAGCTAGAGTCTTCGCGTTTAGGAGGCCTAAAGTCCAGGTGCAGCATGCCAGCTCCAGGAGAAGGAAGTTCTCTGACTGCCATGAAGCCTCTTTCCGCATCCCTGGGCCTGGAATTCCTTGGAGAGCTCCATTCATCTTGGCCTTTTCCTGTGTCGAAGGCCTTCCTGGTATGGGAACCCGGGTCCAGAGCACGCACGCTGCTCCTGGTTGTTCCTTCCTGGGCATGCTGGAGTCCTCTCTGTCTTCAGATTACTTTTCCAGTTGATAAAGAGTGTGACAGGCACAGCCCAGGGAAACTCCCACTGTAGGAACAGGCTGTGATGGGAATAAGGGGGTGCATTTTACCTTTAGTCCTTTCACAGCTGTTTGTTTTATCAGCTCATGGGGAAACATTACATATCATCTACATTATATCATGACAGATGTGTATTTTGGGGATTACTCAGTTCAATCCATGACAGTTAGTGTTTGAGTCCTCACGGGGCATGTCCACCTCTCTGGACTCAGATCTGAGGGGCACAGCTCACTTGTTTCTTTCATCTAAAACCCCCATGTGTGGAAGTAGGTTATTATTTGGCCTGCTGTAATCATTGGATTAGAGGGGAAGAAACCTGCCTGCTTTTAAGTTCTTTTTAGATTCAGTTGCTTATAGTCAAGCTGTATTATGATTCTTTAACGAGGATGAAATTAATGCTTAGCTGAATCTTTAGAGATTATTTTGGTAGTGCAAACAATAGTAACATAATTTAAGAAACTTCATTAAATTCTATAAGTAGATTTATGGAGTACTTTTTTTTAAAAAAGAAAAATCCAATGTCTTTATTTCATTATTTTCTTGGTCAGATTTAGTCTATGAGTAGAAGAGAATGAATATCAAACAACATGCAATTTAATGTACAAAGGGCAAAATTGTATAAAGATGGATATTTTGAAAAGTGCAACAATGAATGAATGAAAATCCAAAATCTCTGTAAATGTTCATTAGAACTAGTAAAATAAAATTTAAAAAAGAGAAAAAAAAGCTGGATAGTTTGGATGAACGTTAAGTTATAGCCAACTAGAAAGATAGCAAAGTAATGTACGTTTACATACATAAGAACATAGCTTAAACCTATATAAGCCAAAAAACAAAGCAATAAAGAACTGTTTGTCTTCTCAGGCACAGTGAGCGACCTCAGTTATACTGGCCAAGTTAACTGCATTCAGCAACTTTCTGAACCTTCAAAATGGGCATGGATAAATACACTTACCTTGAAATAGGCCTTTCGCCCCACGTATATGAAACAGATTAATCACATGGTGTGGCACAAAAATATATAATAAATTCTCAAAGGTAGACATTATTCAGGAACAATATTTACAGTTTTATGAAGATAAATGAATAGAAAATATCCAAAGTTTAGACTGCAAATGTATAGTTCATAGAGCATTATATCAAGTTGGATGGCCTAACGCTTTGCTCAGCTCCGAGATTTTTACTAAAAAAATAACACAAATGTCAGGTAGTAGGGCCTAATGGTAAGAAGCTGCTCTGCAATCAGAAGGCGTGGAGTGAGCTGGAATGCACCAGCTGCTCTGGGGAGAAGGAGGGACGGTCTCTCATGCAGTTTATTGCCTCTGAAAATGTGCTGGAGGGTCGGCTATGGGTCGGTTCCAACTCCATGGTACATAACAACCAAACAAGACAAAAGGTAGAAAATGTAAGTAAAGCAGCAGAAGGAAATGAATAGATATCATTTAACGTAGAAGCCCAGACTATAATGGACTTAAGTATATAAAGACTAATTTGTATGTATTTTTGTTATGTAATTTTTTAAAAACTATTTTTGAATGACTAATGAAATAGACCGTTTGGTTTTTCATGACTATTCTCTAAGAAATAAGACGACTAAGGAACAAGAAAATACTTGTAATCCTAGGAATGATTAAGAAACAAGTATAGATCATTTGAAAATAATCTCTAGTCTTGTTTTTCGAAAATTTAGATCATATAGTTCTTTTCTAAAAATGTGTATTACCAGAATTGTCCCTAGAAGAAATTGAAGACTTAATTTCAATAGTTGAAAAAAGTAATGAAATACTCACTTTGCCAAAAATAACCAGTCTCTGATGATTTTATGCATGACTTTTAGTGACATTCCTAGAAATTATGATTCTTAAGGTACTTGACTGTTTTAGGGTGTTTAACTTGTTCAAGAACTCCCATAATAGGTCGGAGTACTCTGATAGCTTTGTGGAGAGTTTTGCCAGTTCCGTGCCTATAGAGGCACATGTAGAAAGTACTGAGATCCATTTAGAGACTGCCTGTTGGAATGAAGAGGAACAATTCCTTGTGTTGAAAATTGTCCGAGTTACAGAAGCTTTATGAATATTTTCACGTAGGATCTCTTTAAGGAATCTGTCCCTGACAGTAAAAGGTCCTCTAGTTCCTCTGCTGGTCAGTTCCTCAGGATCTCCACCTCTGGGTACAGCGACGTGTTTTGAAATGTTACCTCTTGAGCTGCATTGGCAATGAATCATTCCTGCATTTCTTCTGCTTTATAGGTCTTATCCAGCCTATTCCAAGAAACCAGTTTTTTCCAAGTTATTTTAATAACAATTTTGTAAATGAAGCAGACAGACCATACAAGTGCTTTTACTGTCATCGAGCGTATAAAAAATCGTGCCACCTGAAGCAGCACATCAGGTAAGGGGTGGGGGTCTGGGGCACCCAGCAGCGCAGTGCTCTAGACGCTGCCACACGTGAGGAGTCACGTGGATTAGTGATACTTTCTTACCTTAGTGTCTTGACTTTGGCAGTGATTTTTTTCACCACTCCTCAGCATAGTGCTCTGGTGGTATAGATGTTAAAACACTCAGCTTCCAAACAAAACTTGGCATTGGAACCACCCAGCCTTTGCTGTCTGCTTCCGTAGAGACTCGGCCATCCTGGAAGCACTGGCGGGGAGCGTGTGCTCTGCCCTGTGGGTGGCTGTGAGTCGGGGTCCACAGGAGCACAGAGGCAGCATCTCAGCCGCAGCAACTTCCAGGAAGGAATCAATAAGCTTTCTCTTTATTTCGTTAGAAATATGTTCTTTTAATGGATTTTAACACTTCACAATTGAGATTAATTTCTGTTGCTGTAGCAACAGTGAGACTAAATTAGGAACTTGATTGTGGCAAGACCATGTCCTGTGCTGACCTGCGCGTGGATCTGAGAAGCCCTGGGTTCTGGATTCCTCTCAGTCACATGGTGGCTGTGTGATTTCAAGGCAGGCGCTGCCTGGGGGCCTCCTGGTCCGTTTGGTTAGGTGTGGAGGGCTGTGTGCTTGCTGAGTAGCTGACCGCTGTGCCATGACTAGTGGGATGTGGACTCTGAAGTATCCGTGTCCCTTCAGGTCACACACAGGGGAGAAGCCCTTCAAGTGTTCTCAGTGTGGACGAGGCTTCGTGTCTGCTGGCGTCCTCAAGGCACATACGCGCACACACACGGGGCTCAAGTCCTTCAAGTGTCTCATCTGCAACGGGGCCTTCACCACGGGGGGCAGCCTGCGGCGTCACATGGGCATCCACAACAATCTGCGGCCATACATGTGCCCCTACTGCCAGAAGACCTTCAAGACGGCCCTCAACTGCAAGAAGCACATGAAGACCCACCGGTGCGTACCGGCCCCGGCGGTGCCTTCAGAGGGTGCTGGGGGAGTGGGGGCCTGTGCTCACGGGGGGTGAGCCGGGGAGCAGTGGGCTGGAGGCCTGGCTGCACAGTGGTTAAACTCTTTGCTGCTTAGGAGCTGCTCCGCGGGGGAAGGCAGGGCCTCTGCTTCCTCCAGGCTGTTGTCCTGACACGCGGCCACTTCTGCCGTCCTGCAGGGTTACTGGGCCTCAGGAGCAACTTGACAGCAGCGAGTTTGGCTTTATGTTTTAAAAAATACTTTTTGCAAGTATGTCTGTGAGGGTGTTACCCTCAGACCAAAGCTCCATTTTTTTGGCATAAGGGAACTACTCTACTCAGTGGTTTGAGGTGTTTTGTTTCACTTGTTTTTTGTTTTATTCACTGGATACTGAGTCTCTTGACAAAATTGCCAGCTTTGATTCTGGTGGCTGATCTGCTGCTTGCACTGCTCAGGACTGCTCTGTGGGCAGGGTTCCACACTTAGCCGTGTGACCTGCACCGCCCCTGTTTTATGTTAGGGTGCTTTTCAGAGCATGTGATGCCAAGGATGCAGGTGTCCCTGGTCTCTGCCACCTGAGTGCTGCATGTGCTCTGTTAGGAAGCTGGTCCTTCTCAAGCTTTAGGACCCTGGTGCATGGAGCTGTGGGCCGTGGCGTTCCTGCTGAGGCAGCCGGTTAGCTGTTGCACGGCCTGTGCCCCCCGTTGTTACCATCTCAGTGACGGCCCCTTGTTTTAGCACGCCTCGTGTGACTGAGATGCAATCTGATGACTGGCCACGGGGTGGCATCACAGAGCCGGGAGAGAAGTGGGCCCAGCAGTCCGTCCCTTTGCTGCCACAGTCAGGAATTCTGACACATTGTCCCTGCTTTTCTCAAAAAGAAGGGCAGCGGGCAGTACTTTCGACAGTAGCCTCCATTTGTCACCCAGAAGGGGCGTCTGTAGACGCACAAGTTTGAGTCACCACTGGCCACACAGTATCCTCCCAGCTTAGTGGACGGTGGGCAGACGTGCGAGCTTGAGCCACCACTGGTAGCCACAGTGTCCTCCCAACCTAGTGGACGGTGGGCAGACAGCTGGGGAGATGTGGCAGAGCTGCTGAGAAGGGCTGTCGAGGAAGGTGCAGGGGTCTGCACTGAAGCCTCAGGGCTGCCCCCACGGGCCTGCCCTGCTCCAGCCGCTCACGAGTCTGCCTTGGCCAGGCCGCGGCCGCACCACTCTTCTCTGCTTTTTCCTCCAGTGACAGCTTTCTGTCCCACAGATTCTGCCTCCTGAGGGTTTTTACTATATTTTCTGTTTCTTGGCTATTTTTGAACTCAGAACGGTGCACGCTTTATACGGTATGTTTCTGGTTTGACCACCACTGGCCTGGACCGAGGGCCCTGTGCCCTGGTGTTATGGCCACCCAGGGGCTCTGTCTTCCTTCCTCTGCAACGTGTATACCTGCAGGTGCACCGCTTTGTATTATGTTCCTGAAGGCCTCAGCACGTTGTGGACTTGAGTGGGACAGTTCTCATTTGAAGGACATGATGACCTTCTTGTTTTCAAAGCTTTGAGGATCATGGTGTGTCCATCCCTCATTGCCTGTGTTCAACCCGCGTCCAAGAGAGCTCCGAGTGCGAGGGGGCTTTCAGCAGTTCATTTTCGGGAGTGCTGCCTCATGGCGTCTGAGCGCAGCAGGACCTGGGGGGCCGAGGCAGTGCGTGACCAAGGGCCCTGTTGTTTGAAGGTATGAGCTAGCCCAGCAACTCCAGCAGCACCAGCAGGCCGCCTCCCTCGACGACAGTACCGTGGACCCGCAGGCAGTCCACGTGTCCACCCAGATCCAGGTGGAGATGGAGAGCAGCTCACTGCCACAGACGGCTGAAGCGGTCACCACCAACCCCGAGGCCATCCTGGAGCTGGCGCCGCAGCACGTGGTGGGTACGGAGGAGGCTGCACTCAGTCAGCCACTGGCCGAGCAGCCCTTGGAAGCCGACGAAGGTAAGTGCTCGTGGCCTGGCCCTCTGAAGGGCATTCCACACAGCCGCAGCCCTTCACACGTGGTCCCTCACGCCTTAAGACACTGTGCTGTGCGTGCACATGACACTACACCGTACAGTGTCCATAGTCCACACGCTTACTCAGCCTAGGCTCTGCGGGTCAGGCCTATGGGAAAATGGACAATAGTCATATTAGATGACAAAAATGGAGGCTGACGGCCTTGTTACCTGCCGGTCCCTGAGGCTCATGGTCCAGCCACCCCGGCGTCACTGCTGTTACAATGTCTTGTACAGGTGTTTGTGTTTGAAAGCTCACCCCTGTCACCCTGCACCATCGTCCACCTTAACACGTCCTCTTCTCTGTGTTTTCGACTTCAGACAGATTTGTGAGCCCTCAGCACCCTCTGCAAGGACACATTGACCAGTTTGAGCAGCAGACGCCCACGCCACAGGCTTTCGAGCCGGCCACCTTGTCCCAGGGTCAGTGAGGATGTGGACAGTGAGGGTGTGGATAGCCCTGGGCTACAGGCCTCCAAGCGGCCACCTTGTCCCTGGCCTGGGGCGGGGGATGGATGGCCCTGGGTCGCTGGCCTTGGAGCTGGTCATCTTGTCGCAGAGCTGGGGAGGGGTCTTGTCGCAGGGCTGACGGGGTGGGGGTGGGGGTTGTGGATGGCCCTGAGTTGCTGAACTTGGATCTGGTCACCTTGTCCCAGGGCCATGGGGTTGGATGTCCCTGAATCACTGGCTGTGGAACCAGTGACCTTGAGTGGACCTGAAGTCCGGCTCTGTGGCTTCCCCACGGCGCAGGGCCCAGCCAGGGGTCCCGTCTGCAGCGCTTATGGTTGCTCCTTTGTCAGCTGCGTTGAGGTTCCGGAAAGTCCAGCTTCCCATTTCTAGCCAGAGAAGCGTGGTGGGCACAAAGGATTGTGTGGCTGTCCTGTGTGGCCTGCTCTGGAGGGTGTGCCCCATGGACTGACCCTGCCGACTACCACAGATAGGGGCCAGGATGGTCTCTGACATCTAGCTCATGACTGTTGTGTCTGTGGCCTCAGCGTGTATTATGGGGCTCACCCTGTCTCCCTTGTTCCAGGTTTTGCTGTGAGTGACACGTACAGTCAGCAGCCTCCGTTTCCCCCCGTGCAGCAGCTGCAGGACTCCAGCACTCTGGAATCGCAGGCCCTTTCCAGCAGCTTCCACCCGCAGAGCCTGCTCCCGGTGCCCAGCTCGGACCCCATCAGTGTGGTGAGTACTGCCCTTCGCGGCCCACGCTGGTCTCCACACAGGGCTGTGGTCAGCTGTGCTGCTAACCAGATGGTCACCACTTCAAACCCACCACCCTCTGCAAGGAGAGGTGTTCCAGTCAGCTCTGTTAGGACCACTCAGCTCCCTGAACCCTGACTGCCCTGGGCCCCCGATGGCTGACTGTGTCGGACATGCCAGCTACTGGCTGTGCCATGCATACTAATAACCAACTGCCCGTCCAGGGGCTATGCCAACCATCTCAGTGCTCTTTGGGGTGACGTGGGGCACCATACGTGTGTCTAGATGTCTGGGGTCAGCATGAACACTCGCTCTGAGGAAAGCTCTGCTCCCAGGTCGGAGAACAGGCCCAGACTCCAGGGTTTCTGTGAGCAGAGAGATGCCGTGCTTCAGAAAGTAGAGTGAAGAGCCACCTCTTCAGATGCCCAGCTGGTCCCTTGTAGAAAAGTAGTTTACTATGACGTAAAATAGAAATGAAGTGTTGTGAATCTGTGGTGGTGAAGGATTGGCTGGCTTCTCTCCACAAAATCTTGTAGTCTCTGGTGGTTTTGTATTAAGTAACCAGCTCTGCAGCCTGTCATAGTTGTTCCCAGGTGCTCAGTGGTCAGCTGTGTCCTGTCACAGTCACTCCTAAGTGCACAGTGGTCAGTGCTGCACTGTCACGGTCACTCTTAGATGCTCAGTCGCCAGCTCTGCAGTGTCATGGTCACTTCCAGATGCTCATTGGTCAGCGCGTCCCTGTCATGGTCATTCTTAGATGCCCAGTGGTCAGTGCTGCCTTGTCATGGTCACACCTTCTAGGAGCTCAGTGGTCAGCTCTGTACTGTCATAGTCACTCCTGGAAGCTCAGTGGTCAGCGCTGCCCTGTCACAGTCACTTCCATATATGCTCAGTAGTTAGTGCTGCCCTGTCACGGTTCCTTGTGGGTGTCTAGCGGTTTGCTTTCTACTCTCACAATTGTAGACAACTCGCTTGATCCAGGAGCCATCCCAGGAGGAGCTGGACCTGCAGACACCACAGCCCCGGTTCCTAGAGGATGGCGAGGACCAGTGCCGACGTTCCTACAGGTAGGGGTGCCATAGGGTGACGAGGCCAGTCTCGGGAGTCCTGTGGTCAGCTGGCCCTGGTCTAGGCAATCGGTTACTGGAGACCCTTTCCCCAGGCAATGTCGGATGATTTGTGGCGTTCCATTCTGCATGTAGATTGTTTTCTTCCCCTGTTGCCTAGGCCAGAATCAACCCCATTTCACGTCAGAAATAGCTCTAAAGCCTCTCGTGGAAGCTTCCCTGCTTTGCTTGTCTTTGTGTTTCCAGTAGACTAAACTTGTATGACCTGAAGGAGCCTGGGGGCCCCATGGAGTAATGCTCACCCGAAGGCCAGGGGTCTGAACCACCAGCCGCTTGGTGTGGACATGAAGCAGGCTGATTCTATAAAGATTTGCAGCCCTGGGCACACCGAGGGGCAGTTCCTCTATGCCCTGACAGGTCCTATGCCTGCTCTGAAGGGTTTTAGGGTTCGTAATCAACTTGACAGCAGTGGGTGTAGCTTCATGGTTTTATACAGCAGCCCTTTGCCTGAGCTGCTGGTAGCAGCTGGAAGCAAAGTAAAACTTGAAGCTGGAAAGGCAGTTGGATGTAAATTTTAAAATGTGTAGTCATTTTCAGTCTTAGAATACTTAAGTCTATTTATTAACCACAGAGGGAAATGCAGCCTAACAACCTATCGTCAAAGCACCTTATGAAGTTGGTTAAGGGAGTCACTTTGATGCCAAGAGTATATAAATTGATTCTTGCAAGTGTCTGGACTCACTAGGTGCTGCTATAGACGTGTGGATGACCTCACAGTGTTTGGGCTTAGGAAAGAGGCTACAAAGAGGTCAGAACACAAACCAGAGCCATTATCGTTGAATCAGGTCCTCTCATACGGAGTCCCCATTAGGCTCCAAGACTGGAAATCTGTACAGGAGGAGATGGCTTGTGTTTTCCCATGAAGCAGCTTGTGCATTTGAAGCAATAGCCTCTCCATATAGCCCAACACCCTAGGCATGATGCCACCAGAGCTCCTCAAAACAAGTCGCAGAGGGCATACATTGTTCCCTTGACAAATAGAGGATGCACATCCGGCCACCTGAAGACTCGATGCTCAGTGATGAGATGCATGAGGCCTGCAGATGCTCTGAGCATACGCTGACCTGACAAGTGATTCCTCCATTCCTCCTTACACTGTCTGTCTGTCACGTTATACTTTCTTAACTGTGCATTTAGTGTGATAACCCAGAACCCCTCTTCCTCCCTGTAATATCATGTATTTATGTCAGGTTACAGTTTGTTAAATTCTCATCTAGTGTTTATAACCCAAAACTCCACTGCCTTTGAGTTGGTCCTCTTTTGGGGCGCCCCTCCACACAGTTTCTGAGGCCTGAAGTCTGTGAGAAGAGCGGATGCTGGATTTGAACCTCCAGCCTTTCCATGAGCAGTCTGGCATGTAACGTGCTGTACCACCTAATGTTTGTGAGAGTGAGACTTAATCTTTGCACAGAGGTTGAAGGGCCCTCTGCTTTTCCCGTTCCCAGAGGCACGTGGTCACTGGGACACAGGGAACCCAGCTGCTCCCGTTGTATTTGCAGATGTGACTACTGCAACAAAGGCTTTAAGAAATCCAGCCATCTAAAGCAGCATGTCCGCTCCCACACGGGCGAGAAGCCCTACAAGTGCAAGCTCTGCGGGCGCGGCTTCGTCTCCTCGGGGGTCCTCAAGTCACACGAGAAGACGCACACAGGTACTTGTGCCCTGCATGTGCCCCACTCCCACCCACTTCCTTTTTTTTTAATAGATTTGCGTACAGTTATTCATCTACATTGTGTTTGATTTATGTGCATTATGTTTTATACAATGTTTCATTTACATGGTATTTTATAGAATGAATTACTATGCCTATTCTCATTCTGTCTTTTCAAGTCCCTATTGAATCTGTCCTGTGCCTTCACTCCTTCCCTGCCCACACACCTCTGCTGCCCCAATGATTTCTTCCTCTTTTTCCTGCTCTGCCCTTTTTGACCACTTACATATATTTTGTTCACTTCTCCTATTTTCGAAATAGTGGTCTTATTCAGTGTTTGTCTTTACGTGACTGAGTGGGTTCACTCAGCATAATAATACTCTCTAGTTTCTCCCGTGTTCTAAAAAGTCCCTCCTTAGTGCTGCAGACTATTCCATTCTGTGCATGTATCACAGTTTCCTACTCTGTTCATTTCTTGATGGCCCTTTGGGCTCTTTCCATGTTCTTGCCTTTGTGAATAATGCGCCACTTTGTACATTGGTGTACAAATCTCTGTGTTTCAGTTCTGAATTCCTGTAGGGGTATATTCCTAGTGTAGAATAGCTGGGTCATATGGGAATTTTAAGTTGAGCTTTTTGAGGAAATGCCAAACTGCCTTCCTGAGTGGTTGTACCATTTTACAGTCCCACCAACAGTGTATGAGAGTTGAATCTCTCCACATCCTCTCCAACATTTATTGTTTGCTGTATGGTTAAACTTTGCTACTACTGCTGGGGTGAGATGGTATCTCGTTGTTGTTTTGATTGGCATTTCTCTGACTGCAATGATTTTGAGTATTTCTTCATCTGGCTATTAGCCATCTGAATGTTCTTCTTGTGATTGTGGAGGCCCTGTATTCTGTAAACTCTAATTATGAGACCCTGGTCTGAAATGTCTTTGCCAGATTTCCCCCCCCCCCCCCAGTATGGACTTTCTTTTCATCCTATTTGAGAAAGTTTTTGATATACACAGGGATTTAATTTAAGGCGGCCCTGTTTGTTGATTTTATCCTCCCCTGGTTGAGCATTTTTGGGTATTTTTGCAAGCCTTTTTATTTCATATGATAGGGCTTCCTATGGTTTTGCATTTTACCTCTAGGTCTCTGGTCTACTTTGAGTTGATTTTTGTGAATAGTGTGAGATGTGGATCCCGTTTCAGTTTTCTGCAGGGAGCAGTCCTGTTTTCCCAGCATTATTTGTTAAAGAGGTGGTTGTTTCCCCATTTATTGTTGAGCTGTGAGAGTCATGTCCATGCTCCGGATACTCATCTCATCAGATGTTGTGTTTGCTGTAGGTTGTGGTCAGCACACACGGAAAGGAGCAGAGTCCGAGAGGACTGGAACTTTATTTGGGAAACAACCTTGGAGGCTGTTCGTTTTGACAGACATGGTTTGGCAGTCCCCTGCTTTTACACCCTCTGGTTCCTTTTAGTAGAAAAGCAGAGAAAATAAACTGCCTTTGATTTTCAGCTTTTCTACACTCAGGAACCTGGTGGGGTGTCTGTGACTTCAGAACCGATGGGTTGGCAGGATGGTGGGAAGGTGCATTACACATGCTGACACCTGGTGTCTCTCACCCCCCTTGGGCCCCAGGAGTGAAAGCTTTCAGCTGTGATGTGTGCAGTACCTCCTTCACCACCAATGGCAGCCTGACCCGGCACATGGCCACGCACATGAGCCTGAAGCCGTACAAGTGTCCCTTCTGCGAGGAGAGCTTCCGGACCACTGTCCACTGCAAAAAGCACATGAAGAAGCATCAGACCGTGCCCGAGCCGGTGCCCAGCACTGAGGAGCCGGAAGGAGCAGGTGCTTCCCCGGGTGTGGAGGCTGGGCTTATGAACTGGGTATTGATTGGATCTTAAGGGAGTTGCAGGAGCTGAGCCGCCAACCCAAAGGCACATGTTTTGGAGCCACCCACTGCTCCGTGGGAAAAGATGGCCCATCGCCTCCCATGTGGTTTACAGCATCTGACAACGTCCTGGAGGGTCAGCTGTGGGTCGGTTCTGACTTGAGGGCAAGAATTTTTTTTTTTAAGTTTTGTATTGACTCATGAGTTAATGTAAAAATCACTTTAAAAATATTAAACTGGCTATTCCTGGGGTTACTGGGATGCTGAACCTTATGCTATTGGGGTTTCAAATGGCCTAACGGTTACCCATGGTGGACAGTGTTTGCTGGCGTTCCCAGTTTAAGACAGGTTTGGAGTCAGGAGTGGCATCCACTTCCTAAACAACATGCCTCTGGAAACTCTTATGAGCTTTGATAAATGTCCATAGTTGTAGAGGGGCTTCAGGGCTTTTGATCGTAGGGTCGCTATGAGGCATGCTCGACTCGATGGCAGTCAGCAACAACATGCACTGCTTAGGGAGCTCTGGTGGCCTCATGGTGAGAAGCTGCACTGCAGTCCCAAAGACACATGGTTCCAACCCACCCGCAGTTCCACGGGAGAAGGACGGGCAGTCTCCTTCTGTGTGATTACCTGTCTCTGGAGCCCACTGGAAGGTCAGCGATAGGTTGGCTCCAGCAGCACACACGCATAAGCTCATTAACTCCCTGAATTTCAAACCAGTTGACTGGTGTCGTTTTCTCATTATGGAGGCAGTGCACATGAAGCCAAGAGGAGAAGGTCTAGTCTAACTGTTCACTGTGCCCCAGCAGGTGAGCATCCACTGTGGTGGGAGCCTTCTTGCCCAGAAGACAACCTGCGTTCAAGCTGAGCATTGGGTTCTTTTATACAAAATATTGCGTGCTGTGCAGGTGGTCCCTGACTTAGGAGTCCAGTGACGCTGTCCCATTTCTCTTTCTGATGTGAGCATAGTAGCCTTGCCTCACTCACAGGGTGTTCACTGAAGGCCTGTTTCCCACCTAGAGGCGTACGGGGAGGAGGAGGAGGAATCTCCGGAGAGGGGCACGTCTAGGAAGTCGCGTCCGGAGGTCATCACTTTCACAGAGGAAGAAACCGCTCAGCTGGCTAAAATTCGGCCCCAGGAGAGTGCCACCGTCTCTGAGAAAGTTCTTGTCCAGTCTGCGGCTGAGAAGGACCGCATCAGCGAGATGAAGGACAAGCAGGCCGAACTGGAAGCGGAGCCCAAGTATGCCAACTGCTGCACCTACTGCCCCAAGAGCTTCAAGAAGCCCAGCGACCTGGTCAGGTGAGGACCTGGGCGGATGAGGACCTGGGTGGGCAAGGACCTGGTCAGGTGAGGACCTGGGCCGGATGCAGGACCTGGGCAGGCAAGGACCCAGTGAGGCAAAGACCTGGGTGGGTGCAGGACCCAGGTGGTTGCAGGACCCGGGCAGGCGAGGACCCGGGCAGGCAAGGACCTGGTCAGGTGAGGATAGTCAGGTGCTGGGCGAGAGCATTTGGGAACAGGCTATCTGGGTACCTTGGATTGTTCTCAGTGATTTGTGATCGCCTGTGCTTACTTCACGATCATGGTAGCAGGTCAAAACAAGCACAGCTGGAAATGTGTGGGTTGTTTGTGGAGTGTGATGTGGGTGCTCTGGGGGCAGGGAGCCTCAGGCTATGAGGAACCCAGGTCATCTCAAGTCTGAACGTGGTCAGATCACAGCGCCCAGTGATCATGCCTGGTCTGAGTGGACAGACAGGGAGAAGGGATGAGAGAGAGACTGCCCTGCCACCAGCCCTATGCCCTATTCTGGAGCTCGGATTCAAGACACTAATGTGTGAGTCATGCTGGAGGTGACCATACAGGAGACTGGCCTAGCAGTTTGGGGCAAGAGAAGGCCGTGAGGAGGGGTTCGCTGGGCACAAGAGGCCTAGTGGATGGTTGTTTTGTCCGCTGGTGGAATCTCACATTCCAGGGTCCTGGCTGGAGGTTTCAAGGACCCCCAGTGTGGGTCCTTGAGGCCTCGGGAAGTGGGCAAACCAGTGAGGACAGTGAAGGGTCATTGTCCAGGGATTGCTGAGAGCAGAAAGTCTCAGCCTTCAAAAATGCAAGAGGGTGTGAGGAGAGCGCAGTGACATCCCTCACCCCCTGTGTCCAGAAGTGTCTAGACACACTCGTGTCTCTCCAGCAGACCTGGTGAGTTCTGAGTCAGCGACTCACCGCTGGGCACCTTAACCGTGGGCTGCCAGGACTTTGAGTTGTGTCTTGTTGTCAGTGGGGGCTGTCGGGGCAGAACCACCCCACAGCTGACCTTCTGTTGGGTTTTTAGAGGGAGGAGATGGCACAAGAGGAGATTGCCTGTCCTTCTCCTGTGAACCAGATGGTGCATTTGAACTGCGTGCCCTTGCAGTGCACCTTTTTATGAGGCCACCAGTGCAACACTTACTGTTTCTGTAGGTAATAGGGAGTTTGGGCCACGATGTTGTTTAGGAATGCACAGACATGTAAAAGGCTTCAATTGCGCCTGCTTCCTGATAGGCACGTTCGTATCCACACTGGGGAAAAGCCGTATAAGTGTGAGGAGTGTGGGAAGAGCTTCACTGTGAAGTCTACACTCGACTGCCACGTAAAGACACACACAGGTGAGTCCAGACGCCCCGGCCTGCAGGCCATCGGCTTCTTTGTTCTGGGCATGTGGCTGACGTGGACACTTCCTGGGTTACACAGAACTTCAGCCTCAGGAACCATGAGCTCTGGTTGTCCTGTTTTCATACTGCAGTTTAAATGCTTTTGTTAAAGGCAGCCTCTTATCTCCACTTACTGTTGTTGGTTGGATTAGGAGATCCAGTTCTTACTCGGAAATTCTCTGGACTCCTTTTTCAGTCTTCATGGCCTTTGAGGTGCACAGGGGTGATCACACAAGGGAGTGTGCCAGGCCCTCAGAGCCGAGAGGACAGGCCTTGGACCTGCCAGAGTCCCTGTCCTGGAGGTCCACGTCTCGGCTGTACGCCCTGCGACCAGTAGGTGCTCTGGGTCCCGATGCCTCATCTGTGGCATGGTTTAGTGAGGGCGCCTCCCCTCCTCGGAGGTGCATCAGGACACTTTCCCCCAGGAGAGGCCGGACAGAGCTCAGTGATGTGGAGGTGCAGTCGTGATGCCCATGCGGGCTACTCCGTTTGTGTCCTTAATGTGGGCCGTGAGCAGAGTGGAACAGAAGCACAGATTGAGTTCCTTGTTCATATAAAGCCCTCTCTTTCTTCTCTAACCCACTGCCGTGAGTTCGGTTCTGCCTCATGTTAGCCCTCCACTAGGTTTACAAAGTGTTTACAGGAGGAGACTGTCCATCTGTCTCCTGAAGAGTAGCCCATGGGTTTGAACCACTGACCTTTATAGTGCATTCCCCCATGGGACAACAGGGTTCCTTTGCTCTTTTCTGGTAGATCAGGATCTTAAATGAAGCAGACAGACACACCAACATTCCAGCTGCACTGTAGGCTCCCTGGCACCATGTGACTGATTGCTCTGTGCCTTGCTTGTCAAAAGGAGGAGTACACATTGGGACACCCAGTGCCCCTGGTAAAACTGTCCTGAGAATAGTGCCAAGGGGCTGCTACGTGCCCATGACCGTGGGGCAGAATGAGGTGATGTAAGCACAGGGCCGTGTGGGAACTGACCATGAGCCACGCCCCCGCGCTGCCTAGTTCTGCTCCCACTGAAACCCCCTGTCCCTGTGGGGCTCCCCTGGCCCTGGTGGCCATAGGACTGGATGCAGTGGCTGGCTCGCTCTCTGACCTGTCTGCTCCCCACAGGCCAGAAGCTCTTCAGCTGCCATGTGTGCAGCAACGCCTTCTCCACCAAGGGCAGCCTGAAGGTCCACATGCGCCTGCACACGGGTGCCAAGCCCTTCAAGTGTCCACACTGTGAGCTGCGCTTCCGCACGTCTGGCCGCAGGAAGACGCACATGCAGCTCCACTACAAGCCCGACCCCCGCAAGGCCCGGCGCCCTGCTGCCCGCAGCGGCTCTGAGGGGCTGCCCCCTGTCAGTGTGCTGGGCGCCACCTCCTCTGACTCCAGCGTCTTCATCATGAACAACTCAGTCCTCTCAGGACAATTTGACCAGAACCTACTCCAGCAGGGCCTGGTGGGCCAGGCCATCCTCCCTGCATCCATGTCTGGTG